CTGACCTTCCTCGTCACTACCCAACCAAGGTTAGGCTTGGCACTTACTGAGTACCGCTGTGGTGTACTCATGCCCTTCCTGCGCATGTTTTTCATGTGCAGATCCAGGTACTTCGACTCAGTCCTACCACTCTTGAGGCGAGGCAACTGCTATAGCGACTTCGAGGTATATCTGCCGCGTCCGCAGACCGAGGAGTCTCTTTCTATTCCTACTTTTTAGTACTAGCCCTTATGTATTTTAGTTTTTGTTAGACATTCTGGAGTTATAGCTATGTAGTACTTCTTAGCTTGTGATTCGTGGGTTTCCGGGTCTTGGATTTATGTATTGGTTCTTCAGAATTAAATATGGTGTATGCCGAGAGGCACATTCTACCACTGTTTATTTTCCTTATTTCTGTTTTAAGTTGTTACTTCCCCAAATTTTTGTTTTTTTTCCGCAATTTAGGCTTAACTAGTTGTAGAGACTAGGTGTCGTCACGATGGTTCACGGAGGGCGAACTGGGGTTGTGACATTCGGCACACCAAGATGACATGCCGAGTGGCGACTCTGAAAAATCCCTTTTAAACAAATAATGTTGTCGCTTTTCAATTTTGAAAAACACTTTTTGAGCTTTACAAATCTTTTTATTATTTTTAAGAGGGTTAAGTGAAGTAAAAAAGGGGTGTGACATATGCTCTCTTTTTTTCCCAAGAAATTCATCTATTGTTTAAATATAGAGTTTTAACTTAGCGATTTTCTTTCGTGTTGCACAATTAGTGTTCGAATTGAAATTATCAATTAACAAATTTTGAAAGTGTTTGACTCTCCACCACTGACAACAATTAAAAAGTTTTGAAGCTTTGAATTCGAATTTGGGTTTACAAAAAATATTATTTGTTTGAATTGGGTGTTGTTGCAAACGACTGAAAATATTCTATGGAGTTTATATCTCAATTTTCAGGATATTTGGTGAAGATTAGATTTGATTTGGCTGGATTTTCAAATTGAATTTCGAAGAAGAAGCAGAAGAGCATAACACATACAAAATATATACAAATCATATAAAAAATGCATACAAAAGACATATAGTATAAAATTTGTATGAAAATTATATTTAAGTTATCTGGTGCTGCAGTTGTATTTAATTGGGTAAGAATAATGCATGAAAGTTGTAGATAAGTTGTAAATAAGTTGTATAAAATTATTTTAGTATGCATGTTGTTGTAGGTATATTAAATTTGTATGAAATTTTCTTTTAATTTGTATTTTGTTGTACCATATATTATTCTTTTCTTAAAATAGGTAATTATGGTAAAGAGAGAGAAGAGTTGCACTAATTATGGCTTAAAATAGGTAACACGCAACTAGAATGAGTCTTATTTAGATGGAAGGACAAAGGCTCCCCTGATGCGCTAATGATGGATTGTATAAAAATTATAACAAAAACTTGTTTAGGGCGTAATATACAAAATTTGGACAATTTGGTAAATAAGTTTCAAATATGATATAGGAAAGAAAAAAATTCCATGAATTTTTACCTATCTATACTACATATGAAACTATTTTGTCTTCTCCATTAACTTTTAACTTAATTACATGAGCATATACAAATTACCAATTATATACAAATTAGTATTAATAAGTATCCCTTTATATTGTGAATGGAATAGGGAATCAATTATTTCCTCATCAGTCATCCCCTCTCTCTCTCCCTCTCTCTCTCTCTCTCTCTCTCTCTCTCTCTCTCTCTCTCTCTCCCCTTCTCTGTTCTTCCCCTAATTTTTCTTTCTTCGTTTTTCTCTACTTTTTATCCTCTCTTTTTTCGGGAAATTCATCAATGAATTCCAATTATTTAATATAGAGTTTTAACTTAGCAATTTCTTTTCATGTTGCACAATTGGTGTTCGAATTGAAATTATCAATGTTCAAATTTTGAAAGTGTTTGACTCTCCACCATTGACAACCATTAAAAAGTTTCGAAGCTTTGAATTCGAATTTAGATTTTAAAAAAGTATTTATTTGTTTGCATTGGGTATTGTTGCAAACGATTGGGGATATTCTATGAATTTTATATCTCGATTTTGAGGGTATTTAGTGAAGATTAGTATTGATTTGGCTGGATTTTCAGATTGAAATTCGAAGAAAAAGCAGAATGACACATCACATATAAAATATATACAAAATACATACAAAAGACAGATTGTATAAAAGTTATACGAAAATTATATTTAAGTCGTCTGATATTGTAGTTATATGTAATTTTATGAAATTTGTTTTAGTATGTATGTTGTTTTAGATATATCAAATTTTATTTTAAATTTGTATGTTGATGTACCATACATTCTTCTTTTCTTTAAATAGGTAATTACGGCAAAGAGAGAGAGAGAGAAGAGTTGCACAAATTATGCTTAAAATAGGTAACAGACAACTGGAAGGAGTCTTATTTAGTTGGAAGGACAATTTGGACTTCGTTCCCTTCAGTTACATTCTTTTTCGAGCAAATGATCCCCTAATTTAAGGCACTAATAATGGATTGTATATAAATTATAAGAAAAATTTATTTAGGGCGGGTAATGTATAAAATTTAGATAATTTTGGTAAATGCATTTTAAATATTGTATAGGAAGGAAAACAATTCTAAAATGGGAAAACAATACTCCCTCCGGTCCAAAATAAGTGATTTTTTGGCCTTTTTCTTGTGGTCCAAAATAAGTGATTTTTTCAGATTTCAAGAATGAATTAATTATTTTTTTCCTACACTGTCCTTGAAGTAAATGGTGTTGGAATATGTGTTAGGAGTGTTTATGTGAGATAGTGAAGGTTAATATGGTCAATTCCATTGCTAATTAATGCTAAAAGGTGGATTTCTTAATTTGTGTAAAAACATCCAAAAAATTACTTATTTTGGACCGGAGGGAGTACTGTATAACCACTCTTAAAATAATAATAAAAAATATATTTTTTGTATGTACATACATTATGTATGTTACGTCTAAAAAATACAAATTGTATATACTTTCTCGGCTAACGAATATCATGTCGCGAGCTAAAAGTAATTTTTGCCCTTTGAAATTCCTATATGGGTTGAATCTAAGCTGGGCCAATCCTCAGGCCTTAGTCCTGAATTTACAGTATAGCTATAGTTATTTTTGATTGATAGGTCAAATATATTAAAATTACAATAAATTTAAGTTGGAGGCCCGGAAAGTTTTCATTTCCCTTGTTAGAAATAGGAAAGTCGTAGAGACGAAAATGAAACACTTTCCTATTCTGGCTTCTAAAGCTATTTTTAGGTGCTCCCTCGACCTTTTTACCAATGTTCTAAGATTTAAATATATTATCAATATAGTTTAACCTTGATACCATGTGAGTTCTTATTTGTATCAAATTATCAATTAATACTTGTTATACAATGTATCTGTAGTTATATTACAAGTGAGCTCATCGTATAAATATTTTTTATATTGTGAATGCATAAAATTTAAACTAAAAGATGATTAACAGAGAAAGAAATGAACCATTATCACGTTATCACTTAATACTTATTACAAAAATTTACGTGTAATGACATTACTATACCAAATCAAATGCTATATTTGTTAAAAGGAATTTTCATAGAATATTGAATTCTTAGGCTCAGAAAAGATTAAAAGAAAAGGACCATTTTTCACATGTATGAATCAATCAACAATAATCCAAAGATGCACACATGTGCACAACTCCAAAGTGGTCCCAAAGCTCCTCGTCCAAATCAACGTCAATTACGAACTCAGTCTATATTATCCTTAATTAGGTCATTTTTATGGAGCATTTGCATCTATACCCGCTTTTTGGGTCACCTTTTAATTTATATCCGCTTTGAAAAAAAAAAATTACAAGCGTACCCAATTTTGCGTAACTTCAGACATACAGGCCTGAAGTAGCAAAAATTTATGTCTGAAATTTGAACTTCAGAATGTTTTGCCTGAAATGTAGCAAAACTTCAGATGTTTTTGCCTGAAGTTTGGCCTGACTTGCAAAGGCAATCACGCGAACTTCAGTTCATAAGCAAGGTCAAACTTCAATTCAATTGTGTATGTCTGAAGTTTGAACTTCAGAATTTTTTGCCTGAAGTATAGCCTTATCAAAGCAAAACTTTAGATATTTTTGCCTGAAGTTTGGCCTGACTTGCAAAGGCAATCACGCAAACTTCAGTTCATAAGCAAGGGCAAACTTCAGTTCAATTATGTACTTCAGATATTTTTCTATGAACTTCAGTCACTTTGATATAAACTTCAGATATTTTGACATACACTTCACACATTTGGTTATGAACTTCAGATATTTGGCTAAGATTGTCAAACATATGGGGTATATACTTCAGATACTAAAGTATAAACTTCAGACATTTGAGTCAGAAGTTAGGCACTGCTATTGGCGAACACATAGGTCAGGAGGAAGAAGAGGAGGCGTCTGAAGTTGTTAAAATTAGGGTATAGGTTAAATAATTCTAAAATTATGGATATAGGTTAAATGGAGGCGACCAAATAGGGTGCCCCGTGCAATTTTTACCATTTTCATGGACCAAAATGGGACCAAAGCCCATGCACCCCATCCAGTTAAATATCACTAAAGAATTAACTTAAATAGTTGCCTACCAAACGTTTAAACTTAAAATAACCACTGCATGTATGATGTGTTATGAATATAATTCATATATATATATATATATATATAGTGTATATTCATCATATATTGTATGTATACTGACTAAGAAAATATATACATAAATCGGTTATCTGTATAGAGATCTATTACACTCTCTAGTCCACGATATCATCCTTCCTTCTAGTTTGTTTGGCACAATTTCTTTATTAATCTATTTAAAAACAAATAACTCATTTTATATATTTTAATAATAAAATATTTATATAGTTTATGAATATAAGTTTTTGAAATTTTACAATCACATAAATATTATAAAAGTATTTACCATCACAAATTTTAAAGTTTTTATTTCTTTTTCTAAAATAATGGAGTCAAACTAGACAAACAAGTTAGAACAGAAGAAAAAAACTTTTCCGGTCAAAACCGTTTGAAAGCAGTTAACTTCCATTAATAAACAACAAAACTCTACTTAACTTCTATATGCAGTTAACTGTATCCATCTTCTTCTTCAACTTTCATTTGATCCATTATCTGAAGCTTTTCTCCACAAAAATGCAAGATCCGTCACATCCAAACTCCGTTAAGTTACCGAATCAACCGCCGTCGTCATTTTCAGCTGCTGCATTCCGTCCGTCTCACCACCGGCGAGCTCACTCGGAGGTGAACTTCCGGTTGCCGGAGGATTTAGATCTGGCATCCGACCCATTCGATGCGCCGGCGGGAAGTTTCGAGGAGATCGGATCGGAGGATGATTTTTTCTCTACGTACATGGACATTGAGAAGCTCGGCTCCGGCGGTGGATCTAACTCCGGCAGCGATGCAGCAGCTGGTGGTCTCGAAAATGCCGTTGGTAGTGGAGGGAGTAGTCGAGTGGCAGCTGAGAGTAGTGACGGAGAGAAAAGCATGATGATGAAGCCACGTCATAGGCATAGTAATTCAGTGGATAGCTCATCGAGTTTGTTGCTGAGTGAGAGTATTGAAGCTAAGAAAGCTATGGCTCCTGATAAGCTGGCTGAGCTCTGGACTATTGATCCTAAACGTGCCAAAAGGTAGTACTACTAGCTTTTAACGTTTAAGTCAATCTACTTATAATTTAAATTCAGTTTTCATGTTGAATTGTGATGTAGATTAGTTTGAGTTGTTTGAATGCTTAATGGATTTAGTGGTAAGGTTTGTTTAAATATTTGCAAATTTAGAATTTATAGAAGATCTTGAAGTAAATGTAAGTGATTTCTTCTCATTTGCCTAAGCTTTGGTGGTCAAAGTTACCGATGTTGTGTTGGTAGGAGGTAGCACCTGCCTGGTGGAAAGTCTAGGTGCCTGTAAGTTGGCTCGAAACTATAAAACTCAGGTGCTCACCTCACTGAAGCTCGAGGTGAGCTACAATGGAGATCAGAGAGAGACAGAGTTTGCATGTCGAAGAGAGAGAAGAGAGAAGAATCTAGAATGGGCCAACCGACCTTTCTTACATCTGTAGCATCAATATATACAAAATATCCTAACTAGAATGAATTAACAAAAATAGCTTATCTAACAAATTAACTAACTAGCCACTTTACAAGTATGTAGTCACTTTTGCATAATTAGCCATCTCAACACCCCCTCAAGTTGGTGGTGTAGCAAACACTGTCAACTTGTACAAAGCTGCTGAATGCTCGACTCCCGTTAATGCTTTAGTTAAAACATCTGCAAGTTGGTCTGTGTTCCCACATATTGCAATGAAATCAGCCCTTCTTGTAGCTTGCTTCTGACAAAGTGACAGTCTACCTCTATGTGTTTGGTTCTTTCATGGAACACTAGGTTTCTTGCTATGTGCATGGCAGATTGACTATCACAAAATACTGTAATGGGTTTAGGGAAAGGAACTGTGAGCTCCTCAAACAACCTACTAAGCCAAACCAATTCCCCCACTACCTTCCTTAGAGCTCTATACTCAGCTTTTGCAGAGGGCAATGAAATGGTGTCTTGCTTCTTCGATTTCCAGCTGACAGGGCTGCTCCCTAGAAATACAAGGTACTCACTCACAGATTTTCGGGAATCTGGGCATGCAGCCCAGTCAGAATCACATTAGGCCTTGATAGTATAATCTGTATCCTTGGATAGGAAAATCCCCAGAGTTGGGTCCCCCTTCAAATATCTAAGAAGATGAAAAGCTGCTTTCAAGTGAGGTTGTCTAGGATCATCCATGAACTGGCTCAGATTCTGTACATTGTAGGCTATATCCAAACTAGTGTTTGTGAGGAAGTTAAGCTTTCCTACTAATTTTCTATAGTATGTAGGATCAGTCAGAACATCTCCTTCCTTTGCTCTGAGTTTGATTGTTGGATCCAGTGGTGAAGCAAAGCTGTTGTGATCCATGCACTGATATTCTTTGAGCAAGTCAAGAGTGAACTACTCTGAGATATTATCACACCATCATTTTTGTAAAGAACTTCTAGTCCCAGAAAATAGTGTAACCTACCCAAATCTTTTATCTTGAAACTGTCATTCAGGAAAGTTTTCAATTCTCCAATCTCTATTGTGTCAGTGCCTATCAACACAATGTCATCTACATACACTGCTATATATACAGTTGAGTTTTCAATTTTCTTGTAAAACAAAGAGTAGTCATACATAGAGTGTGCATAACCCCTAGAACATAAGGCTTCAGTGAGCTGGCATACCATTGCCTACTGGCTTGTTTCAGCCCATAAAGTGACTTGTTGAGTTTGCAAACCAACTCTGAATTGTCTACTACCAGACCTTGAGGAACCTCTATGTAGACTTCTTCATTTAGGTCACCATGTAGGAAGGCATTATTCACATCCAATTGGGATATGTGCCACCCTTTCTTCATAGCAACAGCTATCAGAGACCTCACAGTAGTCATCTTAACTACAGGAGAGAATGTCTCTGTATAGTCAATCCCTGCTTGTTGAGTATATCCTTTCACAACTAACCTAGCCTTGAGTCTTTCTACACTCCCATCTGCTTTGTGTTTTATTTTAATACTCATTTACATCCTATTGTATTCTTCCAACAGGCAAGGGAACTAGGTCCCAAGTATGGTTGGCATGTAGTGCTTCAAATTCTTGGTTCATAGCTGATTGCCAGGCAGGATTCATAGCCACCTCCTCATATGATGAAGGTTCACTATCACTGCAAATGTCCCTTACAAGACTTTGACTTTCAGGAATCAGAGTATTAGGAGAAACATGATGACTCTTGGAAAATGCAACAATAAGAGAGAATGGTGTAGCTGAGTTACAGTGATTTGCAGGGGATGGTGACTTCAATTTTGGAAGTGAGTGTAGGTAATCTTGTAAATATAGTGGTGTTTTGAGAGGTCTTTGTGATCTCCTTAGGGTAAATGGAGGTCTGGTCTGGTTGATCCCCCGTAGGTGATGTGGTGTGGTTTGAAGATTGTGGTGTGTCAAATTGTGGTAAGGAGGGAGAATGTTCAGATGACATGGAAGGTCTGGCAAGTGTTAAAGGAATATCATGTTCTGAAGGTTGGTTGTGTGCGATACTTGTGTCATTATCACTAACATAGAGATGTCTATCATTCTGAGGAGAATAATCAATGAAGGGAATAGGATTATTGAAGATAGAGGGGAAGGATGCAGTGTCAGATGTTAGAGTAAATGGAAATTCACTTTCAATGAAGACAACATCCCTGGAGATATGTATCTTTTTAGTGGCAAGACTAAGGACCTTGTACCCTTTGACTCCATAGGGATAACCAATGAATACGTGTGGTGATGTTCTAGGTTCAAATTTGTCCCTATGCACCTTAGGCACATAAGGATAACACAAACACCCAAAACTTTTCATGTGGGAGTATGTTGGTTTTCTTTTGTGAAGTAGTTCAAATGGGAATTTAGGGTGACTATGAGAAGAGGGTAGTCTATTTATGATGTAGGTTGCACACTTAACACATTCACCCCAGTACTTCACAGGCAATTTTGATTGGAATAAAAGGGCTCTGGCAGTTTCCAAGAGGTATTTATGTTTTCTTTCTACTATACCATACTGTTGTGGTGTGTAGGGGCAACTCCTTTAATGGATGATGCCTTTGGATTGAAAAAATAAGTTTGCCTCTGTACTAGTAAATTGTGAACCATTGTCAGATCCGATAGTTTTGATTTTGGTGTTGAATTGAGTCTCAACCATGGAGACAAATGTTTTTATAACTTGTAGGGTATTGCTTTTGCAAGTTAGAAGGTTGGTCTAGATGCACCCGCTGTAATCATCTACCATTGTAAGGAAATATTTGTAATTATCATGTGTTGTCACATGATAAGGTCCCCATATATCTATGTGGAGCAATTGGAAAATTTCAGTTGTGAAGTTGGTCTTCTGAGGGAATGGCAGTCTCCCTTTGTCTAGCCATTGGACAAATGGAACGGAGGGAGGGTTGTTTAGATGGGAAGGAGACAGGGATAATGGAGATCCCTTTCATTTTAACAAAAGGTACATGCCCTAATCTATTGTGCCACAAAATGTTCATATCATAACCAATAGATGTACAAGAATTCAAAACAGAAATAGAACTCTGATTTTTATTGCTTGGACTTGAACTATTTACAAGGGGAAGGGATACACACTTATTTGTGGAAATTGGACTATGTACAAATGAATGACCATGACAGTGTGAATTATGTGTACAGTGAATCCTATCATTAAGGCAAGAAGCTGAATTGTTGACTACAGAATGTGTATACCTTTTCCTCAGATACTCTGGACAAAGAAAGTACTGACCATCATAGGCCTTACCAATCTCCAGAGGCCTCTTCACTGAAGGGGCCTGCAGAATGAAAAGGTGATCAGTAAAGGCTACTATACTTTTGGGATTTGAACTGGCTAGACAATGAAGGGAAATCAGATTGTATTTAAAAGAGGGTATAAACATTACTCTATGCAAGATGATATCAGGCACAAGTGCTACACTACCAATTTATGTTACCTTTACTTAATAGCCATTTGGGAGGACAACTAGAAGAGGGTAAGGTAGTGTCACAATATTGGTAAGAAGGGATTTATTAAAGGTCATATGATTTGAGGCTCCTGAGTCGAATATTCAGGAGTCAATCTTGTTTTTGAAACACTCACAGGACAACTTTCCAAAATCAATAGAGGAGGTGCAGACTACTATACCTGCAAAGTTCACAACTCCATTGGTGGAATTGCCAGCATTCATATGTTTTACTCCATTCCCAGCTTGGAAGTGTTTGCAACAGGCTCATGATCCGTCCATATTGCTCTTTTGACAGGCTGATGTTTTGATCTTCATCCAAGTCAGTGGCTTCCTCTACCTTGTTACAAGTTGTGTCATTGTGAACATTGGCCACCACCCTTTTCTCTCCGTTGAAATTATGACCTCAACTAAAACCTTGGCTCTGATTGAAGCGTTGATTAGGATTGTGATTCTGATTGCGTGAGTGGCCAGAATTATGAGGATAGCCATGTAATTTGTAACACTTGTCTTTAGTGTGATCGGGCTTTTTGCAGTAGTCACACATGGGTCTTCCCCTACCATAGCCACTGTAATTACCATTGTTGGGTGAGTAATTGGTCCTATAGGCATTTGACCGAGAGCTAGTGGCATTCAGTGATGTGGACTCAATGAACAATTGAGTATTTGGCTTGATTTCTCTCTGCTTCTCGTCTTGTATCAGCAAAGAAAAGGCTTGGGCCAATGTAGGCAATGGATTCATCATCACGATGCTTCATCGAATCACAGTGTAGGTCTCATTCAAACCCATAAGGAACTGAATTAGTCGCCTATCTTGTTCAGCTTTGTAGAGGTTTTCCTTGGCACCACAAGTACAATTGCAGCTGCACTGGGATCTCTTGCTCAAAGTACTCAATTCCTCCCAAAGCTTTTTCAGTTTAGTGTAGTAGCCGGTGATATCAAGAGTCCCCTGGGATGTATCATTGATTTCCTTCCGAATTTAATACAATCTAGCTCCATTTGTTTGCTCGTATCGATCCTCTAACTCAATCCATAACTCCACAGCATCATTCGCGTATTCAAAACTATCCGCAATTTCTTTCGAGAGAGAATTGAGGATCCAGGAGGTTACCATATCATCACATCGCTCCCACTGACGGAATGTGGGCGACTGGGGATCTTGGCGCTAGCATTCACCATTTATGAACCCTAGTTTATTTTTGACTGAGAGTCCTCGCAATACACTGCGCCTTCTTGATCGATAGCCAACTTTGCTGAAAGGACACAAGCATAGCACCAGGGTTGTCTGACGGGTGTAGGTACAAAGGATCGCTAGTATCGATTCCGGAGTTTCCTTGAATTCCTACATTCACTGCTGTAGTATCTATGTCGTTCAAATCGTCCACAGCCATGAGAAGTTGAAGCTAGCTATGCTAGTATTTCACTGTTGGAAGAAGAAGCCTTTGATTAGGCACTCAAATTAGGGCAAATCGAACAGATTTCAGAGATCGAACAAAATTAGGGCTGAATCGAATAAACGATGAACTGAAGAGAGTAATAGAACAAGAGAGACGATCGTAGTGGGATGGCCGGGCTCTGATACCATATAAAACTCAGGTGCTCACCTCACTCAAGCTCGAGGTGAGCTACAATGGAGATCAGGGAGAGACTGAGTTTGCATGTCGAAGAGAGAGAAGAGAGAAGAATCTAGAATGGGTCAACCGACCTTTCTTACATCTGTAGCATCAATATATACAAAATATCCTAACTAAAATGAATTAACAAAAATAGCCTATCTAACAAATTAACTAACTAGCCGCTTTACAAGTATGTAGTCACTTTTGCATTATTAGGCATCTCAACAGAAACCACGGTCGTCCAAAAAAAAAAGATGAATTATTTTTTGTTGTTGTTTCCCTACGAGATGATATGTCTTTAATTCACCAGACATCTGTTCTTTTCGGGTAACTTGTTGTCTCCTGAAATTACTTGTTTTCTTTTTATGGATCTAAAATTTCTGCACAGTAGAGGCATGGTCATGTCAGTTAAGTTTCTTTTCCGATGAAGTAATTTCTATTGAAGAACGATTGTGAGGCTAGTCAAGTCGTTTTAGACTCTTTTTTTTAATAACGGTGGAGTCTGGGCCAGCTTGCGCATACCTCGACTAATTCCACCTGGTGCCTTGCTACTTTGACTGCTTTGCTGAAGAGGGAAATGGATTAGTAACTTCATATTTTTTTCTCATTATTGATATTGAGAATATATATATTATTGAACTCTATACACACACAGACGAGAGAGAGAGAGAGAGAGAGAGAGAGAGAGAGAGAGAGAGAGAGAGAGAGAGAGAGAGAGAGAGAGAGAGAGAGATTTCTTTGAAGCAAGGACAAGGCAAATGCCAAGCATACCAACAATAGAAGGGCAGCAAAGCACCTAAATGAGTCAAACAGCAGTTTTTATTCCAAAGCTCCAAGAAGTTCTTATGCTAAGACATTGATCACAAACCTTACTGCAATGAGTCTAACCAAGAGAATTGCATTTGTATGTTGCGTTGGAAAACAGTTAAGACACAAGGTAAATGAGTTTAGTACCAGAACTGGGGTCTGAAGTTGATTATTCACCATTGTGTGCGCTATATTTATCTCTCTCTTATCAAGGTTTCATTGGGAACTTTAACCGTTAGATTGGATAAGATCAGTTCAGTACATTCTTGGAGATGCTTGTTTCTTGTTTTGATCTGTATGTTGGCTGCAAGAAGATATGTAGTTCATCCAAGTTTATTTCAATTAATCTGCTTTTGTTGCATTTAGTCAAGTTTTCATAAATCTAAACTAGACCATGTCTCATCTAAGTTAACCTCCGTAAGAAACCTTAAGATGATATCAAGATTATACCAAATTGATCATTATCCAAAAAACAACCGTTGCTTTCATTAAATGCTGATTAGTGTCCTAACACTATCAAAGTCTCATTTTAACTGTCATTCATGATCATTAGTCCCTTAGATATTACTGCTCAGTTAAAATCAACATTTTATGTTGAAAAAAAAGAATCTGGGACTAGTTTGAAGAACTTTTTTGTAGTTTGCAAACTTCGATGGAGCCTAATATTTTGCTGGTAACTTTTGGTTGAAGTAGACTTTTTCTGTTTAGAGTATGAGTGATAAAGCAAAGCTTGCCTATTTAAATGAAGTGATGACATGTCCAATAACATTCACTTCTTTCTTCTAAGATAGCCAACTTGGAGCAAAGAAGTCCATTCGGACGATATTGTTGGCTTAAATCAGGCTAAGCTCTTGATCAGCAGGGATGCTTTTCCATAACATTTTGGTTGCTTGTCCAAATAGTTTGGCAATCACTACCCTTTCATTCTGCTCCAAAAGTTAGCTTGTCCCTCTAGTTTCACCTGATCTAAAGTCCTACAACATTGATCCAAGAGCTTAATGCTTAAAATGAGGTATAGGTGAGCCAAAGTTCTGGTTCTGGTAATACTTAACAATCCACCATGTCTGGTTTCAGAATAAGTTGTTGGCTTTTGTGTCTTGAGCTGATAGAAAAAGCAATAGGAAGTTGCAAAGTATCTGTTTTCTTAAAAGTTTATCGCTAATCTGTTGTATAGTTTAATTTTGTGATATCTAAGAATTTTGATGTAGCTTCCTAGAATGAGCTTTCACTTGTTAAGTCCGCTTGATGCCTTTAATGGAACATGGGTAAATGATTAATTGCTCTTTACCATAATTAGTTTGCCGGTTGCCAGCTGATTTCTCAAGAGCCTAATTTCACTTGGATTTACTACCATAATATAGGTGTAAAAGCATAACACTTGCATGATATCATACCTTTAGCCTTTTTACTGATAAAGGTGGATAGATGTGAAACAAATATCTCTAGTTACCATAGTTTACGATTAAAAAGAACATTGTTTAGGATGTGTGGAACTTGACATGAAAGATATGCTGGAAAACTCTCAGAAACCAAGCTATGTGAATACGAAGTTCTTACTGCAAGGAAAGAAAAAGGTTTAAAAAGTAGCATGTATCCAGTCATTATGACCTGCAATTTATGAGCTCATGGAAGTTATTGTGTTGAGTGATCTATACACAGCCATTGGGACGCTGTATCTTTGTTGGGGGACCTTTTTACTTTTACGGCTACTTAATCTGCATCTTGTCTAAGAAGCACGGATCCTCCCAAGAGGAATTCATGCTCCTATTGGACAAAAAGAGTCTCCAACACTCTGCAATGAGTGAGTGTCCGATAAGTCTCACTGTGTCCAAAAGCAAAATTTAAGTCAAACTGCCGTATATAGATGAATATACACATCAGTTTATGATCAAATTACATGAACTTTTTTTCTATTGAGATGAAAAGCATTGTATCACGTTGTAGGATTACTTCAATCTACACAATTTCTTTTGATAAGGGAAGAAATAGAGAAGAATTTCTCAATTTCAGATCTGCTATTTGTCTGACTTTTGAGAATGTTGCACAGGATTTTGGCAAATCGGCAGTCTGCTGCTCGTTCTAAAGAGAGGAAGGCCCGTTATATATCTGAACTTGAGAGGAAAGTTCAGACCCTTCAAACAGAAGCCACCACTCTTTCTGCACAACTGACCCTCTTCCAGGTACTTCTTCCTTTTTCGAGAACTTACATTTTTAAGTTCTAAAATCTCTAGATATGTGCAGAAACGTACAACTTATATTCCATCAATTTTGGTGATTTTTGGACCTTACAAGGGTTATATATTCTTTTTAGAGAAAGGTAATTGACAAAAATAATATTTTGTATGAGCTCAAGCTATATCTGTTTAACTGAATAGAATCTTTGATGACGGAATTCAGAAACTTAATTCCTTTTTCTGAAAGTCTATCATGTCTGGAGAAAATCAAAAATAACTTCCATCATTTGGAAAAAATACCTTTTTTCAGCTAAATATCTTCCCAAAAGAATAAGTTTTTCCTTTGAAATAAGTCTTCCATGTACATCTCATCATTACTTTCCTTTGAAAGAATTTCACGTATTTCTCCTTGCAATCATCTAAATATCATGGCTATTGTTGTTTCCTTCGGCAGAGAGATACAACAGGGCTTACAAATGAGAATACCGAGCTTAAGCTCCGTTTGCAAGCTATGGAACAACAAGCTCAATTACGTGATGGTATGTTCCCCATCTATTTCCTTCCGCTTCGCTGTTGCAATATTGTCTTTGATTTGTTAGTCATTATCACTTTCATGTCGAAATTTTCAGCTATTTGTTCCTCCTGGCTGGAGGATATATAGACTGCATAAACAAAACCTAATATTACTTTCTTAATCAACATGAGACAAAAACAAAATTTCATCTGTGATGAGAGCAACTACTGATGCTGTGCAAATTTTTCTCATGCTGTTCCAAAAATACAGCTCTGAATGAAGCACTGAAACAGGAAGTTGAAAGACTTAAAATAGCTACAGGGCAGATATCAGCCTCCTCATCAGATACATACAATTCGGGAATGCAGCAAATTCCATATAACCGACCAGCATTCTTTCCTCATCAGCCACAGCCAGGGCCAAGCGAATTACCAAACATACAGATGCCGCAGTTTCACACCCTCCAGGGCAGCATGTCTAATCCCCGTGACCCTCTACTTGCTGGCCATGCACAGGCTCTCACAGACGCAATGCAACAAGATCCTCTCGGTCATTTTCAGGGTCTTGACATCAACAGCAGGGGTTCTCATCTTGTAAAAACTGAAGCCCCCTCTATTTCTGCCAGTGAAAGCAGCAGTACGTTCTGATTGAGTTGCCAATTCGTGCATTGCTCTCCCAACCCTATTTATTAAACTGTCCATAGACTGACACATGTTTAGCATCCAGGAACTTCAGTATTCTTAAAATTTTTTGATTACTTATTTGTCCCATTTGACTCAAGTTTAGGTTTCAGTAGCTTCAACAGGTCATGAGGTATTTCTGTTTCTCTTCATTTTCTTTTCTTAATCTGAATCAAACCTTGTGGTTTATTCATGTAATCTTTAGAGAATAGAGAAGGTTGTCACTGCTGCTCGATGGCTATACGTTCTGGTGTGAGGTCTTCAGTGTCATTGACATTGTGTTATTGCATTTTCTAGTGTGTGAAGTAAGTCTGTTAGGCTAATTAATGCACTCCATTCTTTGAGTAACTAAGTATGACTCCACAATTACTACTGATAGTTTATTGTTATTTGTTGTAAATGTTCCTCGCTTCCCTTATTTCTTACCTCCAGCTTCTCTTCGCCATTGAGAAGTGGAACATGTAATTCACTTCATTTTAGTGGGAGGACTTGATATACATAAATGTAGGCTCCTGTGGTCCTTTATTCATCGGCTAGGTACACTGTTATGTTCGAGTGGCTGAATGCTGAGTTTTGACATAACTGGCTGGGCCACTTTGTATGTAATCTATCTATCTATATTATATATTATATTATCTATCTACAATATATTAAAAGCAGGAACATCTAAATCTAAAAGTCAAATTACCAAATTACCCCTTTACTATTTATTAAAGTATCCTTTTAATCTATATTATATTAAAAGCACGAAGGCTCTATAGAAATGTCGTTCGCCTTTTTAACCCTTCGTAAATGCATTATATGTTGGATATAATTGTAATTATAATAACTATTTTTTTGGGAGAAAAAATAAAATTGTCGTGTACTTACTTAGAGTGTACATTGTTTGGGATTCTTTGGTTTTTGTTTCCTTTAGCTTTAGGATTCTTAAGATTCCTTTTTTTTTAGTTATGGTATTTTTCTTTCGTTGTCCCTTTTTGTACTGGTCTATTGTTCCTTTTGTGTCTATTTAGGATTCAATTTCTATGGTCTCTTTGGTGTAGGTTTAGTATGCAATATTTAAATTGGTTAGTTATTTTTATTTTTGTATTATATTCAATATTTTTCGCATTATATTTAGTCACGATATTAAATTATAGTAAAACTTTTTACTGAGAATAAAATTTCAAGCTATATTTTTCATTGGTCAAGTTAATATATGGAAGTAACATTTAGAATAAGGCAACATCTATATATCATAAATGATCACATAAATAATCGTAATCTCTAATTTTCAATCAGTGCACAAAAAATTTAAGATTGTGTTCCATAATAATACTATAGTCAAGAAATGCAACAATCAACTTTTCACTAATAGTTTTTTCAAACAGTTTCGTTTCGTTCGAAGAGGTAGTCTAACCAATGGAACAATATTTGGTAATTTCTTCAAATTTCATTGATTAATCTTACATTATGAATAATATTCTACTCTTATTGGCTATATAATTCTTAGTGGTAATTATTTATATAGTTAGCCAAATAGAAGCAACAATTATCAGTTTCATAATTTTATAATTTTTTTGTTAACTTTTATTTTATAACTCAAATATAACTTTTAAAATAATATTATGTGATCTTTAAAAAAAAATCCTTGAGTCGAGGTTCACGCGCAACGCGCGTATCCTGACACTGGTACTATATTAAAAGCACGAAGACCTTAGCGAAATATTGTTCGCCTTTTTCACCCTTTAAAAGTAGAGTTCACATTGGATAAAATAGTAATTATAATGTAATTATTTTCCTAATATCTATGACTTTAAAATTAACTAAATTTTACTTATTAAATACTTCCTTATTCGAACTATGTAAAAGCTCTTAATATTTAGGAATCTAAAATTGAATAAGATTTTACTTAAAAAATTTCTTATTTAAATTGTATAACTATTTTCCTTAAATCTGACTTTTCCACGTGTCTAAGTTGTTGATATTTCCATGTTTCCTTAAGTCTGACTTTTCCACGTTAGGAATGGTAGTGTAATGAAAATATTTTTCCAATTTTTTTCTTAGTTTTAATTTTATAGAGCTAAACACCTAAGAATTATTAAGCATGTTTTCAAATTCTAAATTTTGTATATTTTTTGGACCGTGTGAGTAGTGTTAATTCTAATTTTTCACATATGCATAAAGAGTGCTAGCGAAATATCGTTCGTCTTTTTTACCCTTTAAAAGTAGAATTTACACTGGATAAAATAGTCATTTAATTAATTTTCTAATATGTAGGAATATGCATTTAATTATTTTCCTAACAACTAGCACTTTGAGTTTTTAATGTTATCATTTAATTATTTTCCTAAAATTTAGTACTTTGAAATCAACTAAAATATTAGTACTTATTAAATATTTCCTTATTTGAACTAGAATTATTTTTCTTCAATTATATTTGAACTCCTTTCCTTGTGTGTATGGACGTACAATATTAATTTGAGATATGATTGTCACTATAAATTTGTGAATCAATTTTTATTTAAATTAAGGGTTTTACCACTTAAAAATATTTTTTTCCCCTAAGACTCTTACTGTTGTGTCTATTTGAAGAGTAGTTAGCGTAAAATATAAATATGATAAAGAAACTTAAAAATGCAAATCTTAGATGCTTTGAAGTGCATTATGCATTTATAATTACCTCCAAGATCATCAAACAAAGTTAATAACCATTCATATATTATAGAACAATACTATTAAATATTTAGCTTAGGGACTTGGTTTACCGCAGTTTAAAGCAATTTAGTTATAATTTTATTTCTTTGACAAATGTAAATTTTATTTTTCAAAGCAATTTTATTTTTATTTTGTAAATTTTTAAATATTTAGAACTTCAAAATCAGCTAAAAGTTTGGTTATTTACTTTTTACTTATTTGAATCTTGCAAGAACTCCTAATATTTAGGGATTTAAATGAAGTGAGATTTTATTATATTTTGCTTCCTTATTTAAATTGTGTAAAGCAACTATATAAAGTATTATTTTTCCAAAGAGAATCGCATAATGAATAAATTTTTAAAAGGAGGATTCCAAAATTTTTGCTCGTGTATTTTTCTACTCTATTAACTTTTACAAGAACTTATAAAGCTTCTTTATGCTTCTTTTGCAAGCATCTCCTTCAATTATGGACATTACAGTTTGAATTATGTTTGGCTAAGTACTTGGTAATCGGAAATATTCAATGAAACACGTCGACTTTAGAGGTTTTATCCCGATGAATGAACCCGTTTTGATTTCAGTAATTTATTCTCTTATTTTAATATTTGTAAGTTTTATCTTCCTTTTATAATTTCATACTTAAATTTACCGCATACCACGATATAAAGTATTATGGTCATACCTCAGGAATTTTGCAAAGTGCAAGCTACATTGATCTCTCCCCAAGTATCAAGGTATCATATCTACAAGTAGTATACTTAATAAACTCAATAGTATTTGTTTGGTATTCCTACGGTTATCAAAAAATTATTTTCTTTGATCCTTCGGTGCTCTTAATAAGATTACGTCTTTCTATTTGTTAACAAGAGATATAATTTTCTAATGTGACTTAACTTTTCTTAAATACTTTTGTCTCTTCTATTTTTGCTTGCTTATATTTTTCGTTTTTTCTTTTTTATTATGTTGTTTGGTGTTTAGTGGCCGAGTCACACTCAAATGAATGAAAATTTTGAAAATTAAAATTAATGCGCAAATAGGGAAAAATATTTCTTTCCTATGTATAAGCTTTTGATTTTCATCTACTTTTTCAAGTTTGAAATTTTTGTGAAACATTATTTATAATATAATATGTATGTAATATTTTAAGAAAATATATATTTATTGAGATAGGATACACGCGCAACGCGCGTACCCTAAGACTAGTTAACTTAAATATCAAAATATTAAGAACCATATAAAAACCTAAACTACGCGCCACTTCAGCAAAATCTCCTACGTACTGACGTTATCCTACAAACAGACGCCAAGCTCCGGACGGGCACTTTTTTGAAGAAGAGTATCCACCATTTATTTTCTTCAAATTTAGAAGTCAAAAATATCTCATGGCACTCTTTTCTCACTCTTCTATCCTGTTAAAGCTTCACCAGGTTTGGCTCCTTTTTAACACTTATATTTTTGTTTAATTCTCAACTTATTTTCATATAGAAGTTTCTAAATCTACTTTTACAATTTGTTAGTGAATTGAGATATGCTATGTGAAATGATCCTATTGATGGCTAGAGTTTAATTGAGTTCCAATTTTCAAGGCTTAGTTTTCTCTATTTCCTTTTTAAAATTCTGTATTTGTCTCTCAACTTATATTCAGTCACATGTACTTTTATGGATTTATATATTTACTTTTGCAATTAGTCAGAGCTCGAATTTAGTTGTCTCCGAGTTTACAACGAGAGAAAATAAATTAAAAATTTTGGGTTTAATTTAGTTCCTTACAGTTGATCTTTCTTGAAAAGCACAATTATGAAAAGTCCTATTTCACTGTTATGGTATTTCTCTTTTCCAGCATGTTTGATGTTGAATCTTGAAAAGTGAAAAATTTGCCTTTTTCTTGAGACCTGGCATATAGCAGAATTAATTAGAGGAATGAGGCTTATTCAAAGTCAGAATCTTTTATGTACTTCTAAATTTCTATTTATGTCACGACCCGGATTTTCCACCCTCGAGGGTTGTGATGGCGCCTACTAATAGGAGCTAGGCAAGCCAACTTAATTAGCAATTTCATTAAACACCTGTTCCTTTTTAACAATTAATGGCATTAAATAAAGGCGACGGAGTTAAAATCATTAGCGGAAGACTTAAATTTGCATAACTAAATAAAATACAGAAATTCCAACATATGTCTCTACCCCGGGACTGGAGTCACATACTCACGAACATCTAAGGAGTACTACATACAAAGTCTGAAAGAACATCATCTGTTTATCTCGGGTACAATGAGATGACAGCCAAACATAAGATAGAAGGGAGACGCCGGGCCTGCGGACGCCTGCAAGCTACCTCGGGTCTCTCTGGACTGAAGGTTCGCCCCCGTGCTAATGCTGCTGCTGCTGCTCAATACCTGGACCTGTGCAAAAATGCACAGAGTGTAGCATCAGCACAACCGACCCCATGTGCTGGTAAGTGCCTAGCCTAACCCCGTCGAAGTAGTGACGAGGCTAGACTGGACCCCACATAAACCTGTGCAATTATAAATATACAGCAGAAATCGAAGTACAAGGCAACTAACAGTATGGGAGGGGAAACATGCTGTGGGGAGATAACAATATTAACAGTAAATCCAAAGTAATCAATCTAGGTGCAATTTATAATTTCCGACGATCAAGAAACTAATACCAACACTAAACACATTTGTATCACTAACTGTTGCGGCGCGC